GCAAGGAACCAGCAGAAACGAGACGGGCGACGAGAGGCCGTTCTGACGCACGGGGCCGAAGAAGATCGCGAAGCGTGGCCGCAGCTTGCGCTACGCGTGCTTGGGATCGGGGGGAGCGGAGACTTTGTGACCGGGGGTGGAAAGGTGGACGGCGGGAGGTGGAAGGAAGACGACGGGAATTGCGAGGCCTCTCTAGAACCCTCATTGCTCCCATCCATCCCCCCCACCCCCCGCTCCCCCCACCGAAGATCCATCCCCGTTATAACCTCACCTGATGTAGTTCCTTAGCGCGGCGACCCACTTCATCTCGCGTTGACTCAGCTGGTCCGTGCCGTCGACCGGCAGCACGCTCCCCCACTCGCCCACCCACACCGGCGCGATGCCCTGATCCGCCACATACCCCCACAGGTCGTCCCAGTACCCCTCCAGATTCGCGGGAAACGCGGGGTCGTACAGCCATGGCTGCCCGTCTTTGACCATGGGGCCGTAGTCGTGGATGGAGTAGGCGAGCTTGTAGGGGATGTTGAGCTTGAGCGGGTAGAAATAGACAGGTCGCAGGTTCGATCCCCACCAGCAGTCGTCTCCGTCCAGGCCTTGCACGAAGATGAGCAGGTCGGGGTTTACTGCCTGCACCACGTCTGCGGCTCTGCGAAAAGAGAGGCGAGGGAGGACAATGGTAACATTTGTTACATGAGAAGCGAAGATGAGCAGGTCGGGGTTCACCGCCTGCCCCACGCGGTACACGAGGCGAAACTTCGCACAAGGCATCACAAGAAAAAGTGGATGAACGTTCTCCCTGGATTATTGCTCAAACCGCGAAAAACGTTACGATCAGAAAGGTCGTCACGAGCGCACCCGATCGCGACGCTCACGCACCTCTTAGCGGCCGTGCGCCAGTTGTACGGCTCATTCACGCCGTCCGCCTCCCACGTGACGTCCGGATGCGACGGGTCGCGGTGCGGCTCGTTGAACAGGTCAACGCCGACCACGGTGCGCTCGCCGTAGTAGCGCAACGCGAGTAGGTTCCAGTTGTCGAGCCACACGCGCTCCGGGTTCCCCAGATCGAACCACAGCCCTGTGTCCGCGGCGTAGTCGGGCGGGAGCGCAGGGCTGACGCGCGAGTTGCTGAGGATCACGCGCATTCCGCGGAGCTTCGCGCCCGCAATCACCGCATCCATCACCTCGAGAGTCGATAGACCCTGCGCGGAATTGCGGGGGTAACACGCGCAAGAAGGGGGAGAAGAGGTGGGTTGTAAGCGCGTGGCGTAAGGCGGAAAGGGGAAAGCGGGGAACGTGGAAACACGGGGGAGGCGCGAAGTGAAGCGGAGCTGGTGGGATGTGGTCCGCACGTTATTGACTACAACAACGTTAGGAGATGCAGCAAGAAGCGTGGGGAGATTCAGTAAGAATATCCCGATCTAGCGACCTATGTTACGAGGCGCCGCTGAGGCGGATTTCTGACGTAGATCAGCTTTCTGAATAGACCCTGACTTGATTTTGCCTATGAATCTGCCTTCCGGCTCCTTCGGTTCTTAATCTACCTCGAGCTCAGGGCTTTTCTTGAAGTCGATGGATCCGTCAGACGGGCGAATGGACGGCGAAATGCACGATGTGGCGAAGTTGAGGCGAATAACGTTGAACCCGAGCGACGCCATCTGGTCCAAGTAGTCGCCGAGCCCGCGCGCCCACAGCCCGTCCGCGACGCAATTCGCGGCGTCGAAACCGTTCCAGTTGACCCCCGAGAATTGCACCACGCGGCCCGCCTCGTCTAGAATCTGGCTTCCAACTGCGAACCAGTAGCCGTCGCCCAGCTGGCTCGCGGAGGCGAATCGCGGAGCGGCGCAGGAGGCGGCGAGGAGGAGGAGGATGAGGGAGCTTCGCCGATACGCTGAAGTGGGTCTGGTCGCCATCGCGACTAGAGGGACGGAGAGGCGCGCCGTTCAGGCGGGTAATGGACGAAACGAACGGCAAGTATAATTATTGACTGGCACTAAGCATAGTAAGAGCCTGAGATGGGCAATGGGAGGTTTACTTTTTGAGCCTGAGATGCTAGGGATCTAGCCTTGTGCTAGGTATCGAGCTTTCAAGCTGCCGGACGATCTTTGACGGCTCACGCTCTCCCTCGTTCGCTCAATGTTGAATCCTTCAAGTTTACAAAATAGCTCAATCGCCGCAGCTGAATGTCATGTCACAACTTGGTTGAGCCAAGGCAGGGCGGGCGGGAAACGAGGAACCAAAGTTGTCGGACGGGGTGGGCATGGCTGGTGATTGGTTGTAGAGGCATACGGCGTGGGCCATGATCCGACCATGGCAGTCGTGCGAAGGGAAGGGTTGACGGGGAATTCGTCCGTCTCAAAATGCACTCACAACCGCCCCCACACAGTCTCTTCCCGTCATCGCGAATTTCAGAAGCTCAAATGCGCTGCGCCGTGGCAATTGACGCGGCGCGAACGGCACGACACTGGCGCTGACACACCCGTCTGTCTCCATGGTTACCACATTCGGCATCGCGAAGGTGCTGGGTCGCGTCGCAGCGACTCGATTGGCGGCTGACCGACACAGATCATCAGCACTTTCAGTGAATTTTGGACAGTTTGAAGTGGCTCCCTCCCACTGGTTAGTATGTACGCGTTACAAAGATTGAGACCCTACAGTTTCATCATTTTCCAAAAGCTTGAATAAATATATACTCTACCAAACTTTTCAAACACTCCCCGATTCTGGCACGTTCTTATATTGGATGGTTGGTTTTCAGCAATCTTCCCGCCTGCCTGCCTTGCTCCGAGCATCTGGATTTATGAACTTTATGACAACCTTCACACACTCCGCCATTCTAGGTTGCTCTCAGCCAGGACTCCTCCCACAGCTGTCAACTATTTGAGACTCCACGAATCAACGCCTCCTTGACTAGTTGTTTCTAGCAGTGCCACTGCGTCCTCCTAAGTTCCGTCTTGAACAGAAGGCGTTGGATTTGTCTTATTGTTTTTTCTTTGGTGTAGAACGGGACAGAATGTCTGCCAGGAGGCGTACCTTGTTGAAGGTTATTATCCTCGGGGATAGCGGGTGCGTAGGCCTTTTTTTTTCCCGCGATCCTGCTAGTTTTTTAACGTCCCGTACCCAGCCTTTCTAACTCCTCCTCGTGGTGTTGCTTTCCCCCTATTTTTTCGCGCAGCGTCGGCAAGACGTCGCTCATGAACCAGTAAGCAGTCAGTGCGGTCCGCTGTAGTTCCAAGCGTCGCAGCTTTGTCGTTTAGTTCCTCTCTGGAGCTGCCCCATCTGACCATGCTGCCTGCGTTGTTCCCTGTAGATATGTGAATAAGAAGTTCAGCGCACAATATAAAGCTACGATTGGAGCCGATTTTTTAACGAAGGAGGTCCAAGTAGACGACAAACTTGTAACCATGCAGGTACATCCTAGCTGTTCCCCAGCGTGTTTTTTTATTAGGTGAAGGGAGTGGGAAGGATCAGATGTCCTCACCTACCATCAGTCAGCCTTTGCGATCTGACAATTTCCTCCTTATTATGGAATTCCAACACCTCTTCATTTCGATCCAGATCTGGGATACAGCTGGTCAGGAGCGGTTTCAGAGCCTGGGAGTTGCGTTCTACCGGGGGGCTGACTGCTGCGTGTTGGTGTACGACGTGAACGTGATGAAGTCGTTTGAGAATCTTGACAACTGGCGGGAGGAGTTCTTGATACAGGTGCGTGCTGTAGTGATTTGCTACAGCTACGCGTTGAGACTTACACAGAAAGTTGGAATAGGAATAAAAGGCCCCGGCGTGAGGAGTTCCTGATACAGTTGCGTGTCATGGTGACTCATGAGTGGACTCATAAGAGGTCTTGGTTAAGTTGCGTGAGTTGCCTGATACAAGGTGCCCGCCCTTGAACGGTCTATGGAGGTCAGGACATGATCAGCATAAGGAGGCGGCGCGCTTTAAGAATGTAGTAGATTTTGCAGGGAGAGCTGACGCGAGCCTTGTGTGTCTTACCCTCCCGCCACGTGAACAGGCCAACCCAGCAGAGCGAGATCTGTTCCCGTTCGTGGTGCTGGGAAACAAGATCGACGTGGACGGCGGTAACAGTCGCGTGGTAAGCATACGCACGCACGCGTGCACAGCTCTTTTCCATCTCGTCGCATTCAGTAGTCCTCCTTTTCCTGCTTCAGCGCCCAAACATGGCCTAAAATCAACTCACGCTTCATACACGAGTCGTGGCCCTCTCCTGCCGCTTTCCTGCGCCTTTCCCGCCTGTCTCCTGCCTCTCTCATGGGTCGCCTGCAGGTATCGGAGAAGAAGGTGAAGGCGTGGTGCGCAGCCAAGGGCAACATCCCCTACTTTGAGACGTCCGCCAAGGAGGACTACAACGTCGAGGCCGCCTTCCAGTGCATCGCCAGAAACGCGCTCAAGAACGAAACCGAAGAGGACTTGTGAGTGCCTGCCTGTCATGGGACTTGTGCCTTCGCTTTTTTGCCCAGTCTTTCCTCTGAACATTTGCATGTGACCTTTGTTTTTTGTTGAAAAATGTGAGAGCATTCCTGTGCTATTGCCAAGGTTCCTTCTCTGCGACCCTCGTCTCTGCGCCCTCTGCTCCCTCCTTGACCACCTTGTGAACTGCGCTTATGTGTTGTTTCTTGTGGGCTTCTGTTGTGCCACAGCTACTTGCCAGACACCATTGATGTGAATGCTGCTCGGGCCACCAAGGCATCGTCATGTGAATGCTGAAAGCAGAAACGGAGTTTCCATTGTTTGCCCCCGCCAGAAAGTATATACAGCAGCTAGTGCCAAATTTCAATTTTAGCATGAAGAGAAGACTAATACAGCGACGAATCGATGTGTCACGGCTTGTACAGAAGTTATTGTAGTAAGCTCTTGGTGAATGCATCAAGGGCGATGAGGCAGCTTCGCCCTAAATTTGACAATTCACCCCTGCCAAAGTAATGAAAATAAAGTCAGAATTGTGGATTGCAAATGAAACAGCTGAGGACGAGGGACACAGTAACTTACGTGGAAGGACAGGCACGTGCGGCATCTGCTATCATGTCGCACATGGACGTCGGTGCTGCTGCTGCTGCTTCCCCTGCTGCTGCTGCCTCCGCTGATGCAGCCTCGCCTGCTGCTGGCGCCGCCTTCTTCCTGTTCGACCTCTTGCCCCCTGCAGAGGGCTTTTGTACTTGCAGCGACTCAAGTATGGCGTTTGGATTGAGGTCAAAGTACGCCTGGGAGACAGCAATGCATTCAAGTGTTGTGGAGACAAACGTGAGAACTCCATCTGCGGAGGGTAGGATTGGCATGGATGCTTGAAGCTGGTAGTGGGGATGAGATTGTGATGGCAGGTGTGGACGTGCATCGTGCGATCATGATGGAGCAGCAATGAGGCATGTGCGTGTGAAAAGAGGTGTGGGCACACGAGAGTGCTGATGCTTGAGAACATATGTATGCTAAAGTGAGACTGGAGTTTTGGCATGGAGGGGCACGCACCTGGCAGGCGTGGCACAGCAGCACGGCCAGCAGGTCTCGTTTGATCTGAGAGCCCTTGGAGAGCTGAGGCACGTTGCTGCACCCCAGGTGCTGCAGGAGAGCCGGCAGGGTTGTCTTGCCCACCCCCACCCCCCTGGGGTCTGCTGCCAGGGATGCCCTCAGCTTCTGCTTGTGTGTGGCGGTGGGTGGCGGCGGGTGGTAGTGGGTGGCGGTGGGTGAGGTTGGGTGGCGGTGGGTGGCGGTGGGTGTAGCAGCAGCACTGAGTGCAGTGGCACAGGGTTAGGGTAGGATTATATATCCAGGATTGGCAAGAAATAATTTGATGGCTCAAAATATCAGCAGCATTTCAGTGTATTCAGAGGACTCACAATACATGGTTACACCTGATGGTGTTATATGAAACAACTGATGGGGTTATGCTTAATGGGATTACACACCTGGCATTATACCTGGCAGTACACCTGAACGACTCACGACAGGGCCGAAGCGAGAGAAGAGGAGAACGATGAGATGATACTTGTGACATGGATCCACCATGGTCTGATGGGTCATGGGATTTAGAGGCACAGCACGGCAGCAAGGCACATGTAGCACAGCAAAGTGACTTTTTGAGTCGACTCAAAGAGGAGAACGATGAGATGATACTTGTGACATGGATCCACCATGGTCTGATGGGTCATGGGATGGAGCGAGCAACGCACATACGCAAAATATGGTGATAAAGCAGATCACAGCATACTGGAAAGGAGCAGTGTGTAACATGCCATTAAGTGCAAAGGCTTGTCTTGGCAGTGCTGAGCATACAGATGGAATTTTGAAGATTGTGTGCTTCGAACGAGCATCAACATGCCATGACATATCAGTGCACATGCACCCTCCCCACCTGCATGAAGAAGCAAGCAGCTCTCCCCTCCCCCTCACCTGCATGAAGAAGCAAGCAGCTCTCCCCTCCCCCTCACCTGCATAAAGAAGCTCTTCTTGGCCACGCTGGGCTCCAATGCGAAGAGCCTCACCAGTCGATCCTCCAACGCCTCCCTGATGTGCCACACCCGCATGCAGGCATGCCGGAGGAGAGTGAACGAGGGCGCGATGTGGAAGAGAGTAAAGGAGGGTGGGGCGAGGTGCATACAGCATACAGCGTGAAGCATGCAGGTGTGCAGCAGGAGAGGGAGGGAGGGTGAGATGGGGTGCATGTAGGAGGAGCGTATCAGGGGAGTGTCAGGGAGGAGTAAGCAGAGGGATATGGCAGGGAGCACTGATTGAGTCAGGCAAAGATGCGGTGGGGTATGGGCATGGAGGGGAGGCTTTTAGAATGCAGTGCAGGGCTCACTTCTCATTCCGTGCTCTGCGGTACCCATCGTTGTCCGCTATGATACCGTGGAGATCCAACACCTGCTCACAGCACCCACGTACCATGCAGTGGGGTAAGGGGATGCACTAGAGTGTTTCAGAACGCAGGCCTCACTTCTCGTTCCTTGCTCTGCGGTACCCATCGTTGTCCGCTATGATCCGACACCGCTCATACACCACCACACATTAAAGGGGTGATTACGAGACGAAAATCACCAGTAGATATTCGCACAGGGTACAGGAGCGGGGCCGAGCAGCACCACTTGTGCAACTCACACAGTCAAGAGGTTAAATTGCAGAAAGTAGCACCACTCTCAGACTCACAGCACAACTCTGAGACTCACAGCGCCCAGCAGCAGCTGAGCTGCTCGAGCCAGCTCCAGGCGATTGGGAGCGACACATGCACGTGGCCTCCGCACACACTCACGCTTCACCTCCTTCGGCTCTACTGCTCCCTGCACTGCTCCCTGCACTGCTCCCTGCACTGCTCCCTGCACTGCTCCCTGCACTGCTCCCTGCACTCCCTCCTTTCCCTCCACTTCCTCCTTTCCCTCCGTTCCCTCTGACCCTCCCCCTCGACCTTCGTCTTCTTCCCTCGCTTCGCCACGGGATTCGTTCTTCACTCCTTCTCCCTCCTCGTCCTGCTTCTCCTCCTTGTCGCCTTCAACCCCCTTCCTAGCATGCTTTCTCTTTCTCCCTAGCTCTGCACCGTCCCCTTCTCCGTCCTTCTCTTCTCTCTCGTTTTCTCGTTCTCTCTTGTCCTCCCCCCCTCCTTTACTCTCCTGCCCTACCTCCTCGCTATCCTTTTCCTCTCCCTCCTCTTCTTCCTCCCCTTCCTCCTCTTCCTCCTCCCCAGCACATGCAAACACAAGAGCCACTACGCTCTCCCACAGCTGCTCCATCCCTAGGGGACCCTGGCCCTGTCGTGTGCAAGGCAGGGTAAGGGAACGCCAAAGAGAGATGGAGGGGGAAAGGCAAGAGCGTGAGTGCGCACCACCACACATTCCCACAGCTGTTCCATCCCTTTAGGCAAGTTTCCCAAGGGACCTGCCAGCTGTCCCTTGGGAGGGAACCTTGGCCCTGTCATGTGCAGGCAGGGTACGGGGAAGCCCGGAAGGAGGGATGGGCGCGGGATGAGCAAGGCAGGGCGGGAGAGAGCACCAAAAGCAGCACGCGTGCCTATGGAGTGTCCTCAGAACGCGCTGTCTGACTGGATTGACTTGCCTGGAGGAATCGGAAGAGCAGCGTTGACTTGATTGACTCCATGCGCTGATACTTGGAAAGAGACGCTGCAGTGGCAGTGGCACGGCAGAGGGAAGTAAAGGATTTGCCAAGGGAGGGAGCAAGAGTGGAGGGTAGGAAGGAAGGGTGGGGGAGGAGGGGTGGACAACGGAAGGATTGCATCCTGTGGCAGGGAGGAAAACAGGAAGAAACGAGGTGAGAGCCAAGGTTTGAAGGGGTAGGAGACTCAGTTTCTCAGAGGAAGAAAGGAGTGCTCACGAGTCACGAGAAGCTTCTGGCGGTGGTGGTGGAAGTCCCTCAAAAGAGCATCGATTATGAGCAGCAGCAGCCGGCACGATGCCAGTGACTGGTGGGGGAGAAGGCAGGGCAGAAGGGGCAGGCAGACAGGGCAGGACAGGGTAAGGCAGGGCCGGCGGCAGGGAACGACAGAAGGATGAGACAAGAGAAATATAGAAGGGGCCGGAGACAGTGCATGGAGGTAAGGAGAGGCAGGATGTTTCAGGGCAGGTGAGAGGAAAGCTTTCTTTCACTAGGCCAGGTGGCGTGGAGGGAAGGGTGGCAAGCAGTCATGTTGCTCGTGGAAAGGGAGGAAGTTGGAATGTCATGCAAGAGCTTCTTTTGGAGTGCGTAATCATATCCAATCATATCCATCAACTCAACTCCACCACGATCAAATCAAATCACAAGTTGACGCGTGAAAGCTGCTTACCTGGCACATGGCACGTGGCGTGCTTTACCTGGCACAAGGCCTCGTCAGCCGCAGCTTCCTCCTGCTCTGCATCTTCCACTCCCCCTGCTTTCTTCCGCACCCCTCCACCCCCCCTTCCATCTGTCCCCGTTCCGCCCGCTACTGCTCCCCCGTGTGACTCTCCAGCACCTCTTTCCACCGCACTCGACACCCCTCTATTGCCTTGTGACCTCAGCACTCTGGTGTTCACTGGCTGAGCACTGCTGACTGCCCCAGGTGCCACCTTCACCAGCTGTACCTCCCCTGAGCGCTCTGCAGCATGATGGTTGCAGCTTGAATCCTCCACTGTAAGGTCCCTCACCTCTTCCACTCCTTCCTCACTCTCTCTCCCTCCTTCACTCTCCTTCACTTCCACACACTCCGTCACTTCCTCGTCCCCTTTCACTTTCTCACTCTCTTTCACTTGCTCACTCCGTGCCACTTCCAAACCACTAGACGCTACCACACCACTCTCCACCACACTCCCCTTCACCTCCTCAATCTCACTCCCACTAACCTCCAACACTTCATCATCACCCCCTTCCCCCACCATCTCCATCTCACTCACTCCCTCATCATCCGCACCCCCACTCACCCTCCCCTCGTTCTCCCCCTTCTCCCCCTCAGCACCCCGCTTCCCCCGCACCCTCCGCCCAGCCGCACCTGCCCGTCCCCCCCTCCCCCGCCTCTTCTTCCCCCTCCCTCTACCCGCTCCCCTTGAAACCCTCACTTCCTCCACACCGTCCTCCTCTCCCCCTTCTTTCCCATCCTCTTCTATCTCAACCCCTTCAGTCCTCCCTTCGCTCACGAGCTGATCCTTCCTGGCAGCTTCCTCTTCTTTCCGTTCACCTTCCACTTGCTTCTCTTCCTTTGTATCCCCCTCCACTTCCGTGGCCTCTTCGCTTTTCTTCTCCCCGCCCCTGCCAGCGTCCACATCAGCCTTGACGTCAGCATCCACGTCAGCATCCACGTCAGCCTCCACGTCAGCATCGTCTGCATCACTACTGCCTTGCTGCATAGCTGTCACTGCCTTGGCTGCTGCAGAAAAGAGGGAAGCAAGGCTCTGCAAGAACAAAGGGGAGAGGAAACGAACACAAATGAGAGACGCAGCGTGTTCAACTCAACTTATAGAGTGCACACACGCACACACTATAAAAAAAAAAAATGAAACTGGCAACCTCATGCCCTCGTTCCCCCTTTCAGAGAAAAGGGCTTAAGTGAAAGCTTGGGAGTTAGGAACCGACTTGAGAACGGGGAGGGAGGGGGGGGCTTAGGTGGGCTTAGAACGGGGAGGGAGGGGGGGGCTTAGGTGGGCTTAGAACGGGGAGGCGCACCATCTGCCTGCGGGATGGTGTGGGCGCGTCGTAGCCGATGTTGGGCTGCCACGCCTGTGATCATGCCATGCCATGCCATGCCATGCCATGCCATGACCGCAGGAGACAGGGTGATGGGAGAGAAAAGCGGATGAGAAGCCATTGTGAAGCATTTTCAAGAAAGAAAAACACTTTCTCTACTCTCTCATCCCACTGCCCTCTCCTCCCTCACCTCACTCCATTCCCTTCACCCCACACCCCTCACCTCACTCGTCCCATCTCACTCCCCTCACCCCTCTCCCCTCACCACGTTGCCCCCGGAGGCCTCAGTGAGAGCGAGCAGGCATGCAGCGCGCCACACCAGCAGCCCCTCCTTGGAGCTGCGCTCACCCCTCTCACCTGGCCCCTCTCCCCCCACCCCTCGCCCGCATCTCCACCCCTCGCCCGCACCTCCACCCCTCCCCTCACCTCCACCCCTCGCCCTCACCTCCACCCCTCCCCTCACCTCCACCCCTCGCCCTCACCTCGCTCCCCCTCCACCCTTCTCCCCTCACCTCGTTGCCCCCAGAGGCCTCAGTGAGGGCGAGCAGGGAGGCAGCGCGCCACACCAGCAGCCCCTCCTTGGAGCTGCGCACCACCTGAGCCATGCGCTGCCGCAGACCCCTGGCAGGCACATGAACACGTACTCGTTACAAGGTGACCTGTTACTCGGCTTTGTACCACCTGAGCCATGCGCTGCCGTAGACACCTGGCGGGAAGATAATAACCTACTCGTTACAAGATGGCTTGAGTCAGCTTCGCATCAACTGGGCCATGCGAGTAATTCACCTGAAAGCAATCTACTTGACAGAAAGATTCATCTGAAAGCCATCCAGGCTGGAGCAAAAATGCCCCTATAAAAGAAGTACTTTCAATCCGTTCAGCTATAAGGCATTCAAGGGAAGCGTTATCATCAGACGATTGGAATCCACGGAATCGATGAATGCGGAAGGAGGCACCGCACCTGGGAATGTGTGGAGCGAGCGGATGGTGAGTGAGCTCTGACATGGCGAACAGGAAATAGGCCACTGATGGGGGGGAGAGGGAAAGGTGGAACGGGGCAAAGGAGAAGCGTAACGGGGAAAGGAATGGTCAGTCAAGGCGTCAACATGCTGAAACAATCTGATCACTTGATTGACACATCAGGCCGACTTATTCTGGCTGTTACCCAGCGCTAACTGACCGTCAGCCAGCACTAACGGACCGTTAGCCAAGGCAGTGACGGAGTTGTCAGCGAGATCGGCGTGGTGGCGGATGAAGGTCTCGATGGACTCCACTGTTTGAGTCGACTCAAAAACTGACCGTTGGCCAAGGCGGTGACTTTTGAGTCGACTCAAATTTCACCTCGACTCAGAAACTAACCGTTAGCCAATGCTGTGACGGAGTCGTCAGCGAGATCCGCGTGGTGGCGGATGAACGTCTCGATCGACTCCACCAGCTCGCCCGGCATCATGCCGCCCTGCTCGCCGCTCGCGTCGCCGCTCTCATTCCTGATACTGTCGCCTTCACCTCCCGTTGGAATGCGGCCAGAACGCAAGCGTGCGGACTTGCCCACCATCGTGAAAAGCTCCTGGCAGAACGTTGGTTAGATTTTCGAGTCCGTCACGATTCCAGGCAGAACGTTGGTTGGTATTCGCAGCGCAGGCGTGGACGAGGATTCTGAGGATTTCTTCGCGTTGCGCTTTGGATGAGTGGCAGTTGTTGTTCGACTGGCGTCCGTACGATATATGCGGAGCTTCACGCGCTACTTTCAAGCGGCGCGCTCATCACATTGCGTGAGTAGCTAGCTTGAAGTGCTCTTACGGCTTCCGCGTCCACATGTCATAAAATACGCACAAGTGTGTACTAGGATATGGAGCTAACAAAATCACTGGTGGTTGTAGGATTTCCCTGAAATACAAAGTTGTAGAAGAATGTGCAGGGAGAGGCAATATGGTGGATGAGCAGAGCACCCAATTCCAGCAAATGTTTCCCCCCAGAAATCCCACAGAAGTTGCCGAAACCTGAAACGAAATCTGCAGTGGCCATTGAACTGAATTAAATAAACCCGCTACAGTATCGCGCGACTCAGAAATGCGGATGACAGAATCTGCTAGGGCCCAAATTCATGTCCCGCTTGCTCGCCTCCGCCATTTCCAGACCATCCCATTCAACATTGGATTCCGCCATTTTGTTTTTTACCCCATCCCCTGCCCAGCCTCAGCAGCCATTGTCCCGTGTCTTCGAACCGAATTCGCAAGATGAGCGCCTGTGCAGCCGCGCCCTCCCTCCCCACCTCCCTGCACGTCACAGGCTCGGCACGCACTGCTCACAGCCGCAGTCGGCGCTGCGCGCAACAATTTATCCCCGTTATGAGCCCTCTGGGCGGGAAAACGGGTCGAGATCATCCCAGCTGCTGGGGTTCCATAAGTCGGCGTGCTTGCAAGGTGGCGCGTCTCGAATCTCCTGCCATCCTCCTTCCGCTTCAAGGCGGAACTCCCCAAAACGGCAAGTTCACGCGCCGCGCTCTCTCTTCTCGCCTCATCAACCTTTGCCGTCACCTGTTGAATCCTCTTTCGTGTTACCTTGACACCATGCAGCCACATTCCCCAAGCCACATTTTGTCACATTTACCCAGTCTCCCCATCAAAATGTGACTAAGGGAACATTCCTGTGGGGACACTTGTGTCTCAATCCCCATTTTCCCGAGTCGCGCCTGTAAATTTACCCAATGTCGCGTCACAAACATCGAATGTACCGCGACGTAGGGCGACAGATTGGCAGGTACAGTTGGAAACTTTTCATTGGCTGCGATCAAAAAGAAATGTACAGTTGTGTGCATTTTATTGGGTGACAGTACACCCGTTTTTTCAACCTCCGGACAGGGGCGTGGTTTGGATGCGCGGGATTTTTTTCCCTCGCGAAATTGGCATTTTCGGGTGTCCAGGTGCATGTGGTCGTGTCGGGCATTTCGAGTCGCGTGCGATTTTTTAACAATGACGGGTCGTTTCGCAATTCGTCAGCGACGTCAGCGCGTTTCACGCTGACCAAAAAAAAATACAGTAGAAGTCGCTGAAAGGCGACGCACATCTGGGACACAATACAGTTTATGTTGTATATAAGTGTCACAAAGTGATTGAGACACAAGTGTCCCCACAGGAATGTTCCCTAACCCTCGTCCTCGTCATTCTCCTCTGTCCGCAAACAGACGAGCATCTGGCACCATCCGCGCTTCCATCGACGCCTTCGTCATCGGCTTCCAAGGCACGCTCTTAAAGTCCTCCTCCGACGGTCTTCTAGAGCCAGCAGCCGAGGCGCTCCGAACCACCTCTCTGCCCTTCTACATCCTCACCTCCTCCTCCTCTCCCTCGCCTGCTGACGTCAGCGCGCTCCTGAAGCGCGATGCGGGAGTGGATATTCCCGAGGACTCGCCGCGGATCATCACGGTGGCTGGGGCAGGCGACGGGGGAGAAGGGGAGGGCAAACTGGCCGCTCTTCTCACTGTGCGTGTTCAGTGTCTCCCTTCTCCCCACTGCACTTGTTGCCACGTGGTCCCATGCCATGTCATCCCATGCCATTCCATGCCATGTCATCCCATCCCATGCCATTTCATGCCATGACATTTTATTTCACTCCACCTCACGCCACCCACCAGGTAAACAGCAGACCTCTAGCCCAGGACACAGCCAACACCATGCAAAACATCGGCTTTTGAATCGACTCAAATGTCACCTTCTTTCATCCCAAAATGCCACCCATGCAGGTGAACAGCAGGCCTCTAGCCCAGGACACAGCCAACACCATGCATTACATCGACTCAGACCTAGCCACCCTCACCCTCGCAGCCAGCCAACCAGAGCTCGCCAGGTGGCAGCTGTACCACGCGCAGTGGAGCGAGAGTGGAGGAGGAAGCAAGGAGGAGGCGCTCAATCCTCGCATCAGGTCTATCGCGTGAGTGGATCGGTGGTTTTTGAGTCGCCTCAAAAGGCGTGAGTGGATGGGTGCAGGTCTGTTCTTCTTGCACTTCCTGCTCTCGTCTTATCACCTGTTTGTTGTCCACCTTCTCTTCAGCCCGTTGTCTCCTCGTTGACGGGTACTTCTCTTGCAATGACCTACAAGCTTTCTCCCCTCACACAACCCCCATCCTCTCTTTCCCCCCGGCTCTACCCCCCGATCCTCAACCTCCGCTCCCCCTTTGTTTGGCATGCGCACCATCAGACTCAAGGACCTGGACGAGCTGCTGCGGTGGGGGCTGCTCATGGGGGTGAATGATGGCTGCCAGGAGTACGAAGATGGCACGCCTGCCACCTGACTCCTGACACCCTCACTCACCCACTTGTGCCGTGTCTTTCAGAACAGGGTACATTGGGTTCTTGTTTGGAATTGATTTAAGAACTAGTGAGCAAGGTCAAGAATAGCCTGGAGAAGCTTTGTAGGGGGGTTTGTTGGGATCTGATGCCAGGCCTTCAGATACATCAAACTGCAGCAAAACAGTTGCGGGGACATACTACAATATTTATGTTCCTTTGACTGAGGCTACTGTAGATGCATACATATACAGAGAGCCGGGGTTCTTCCTGGGGCCCTCAGGTATTGTGCTGTGCACGTTCTCTCCCTCTTGCTATCTTGTATATATTAAAAATAAACTGCTAGAACACTGGCTTTGAGCTGTATGACGCAGGCAGTGTCTTCGTGGGGCCATATGGAATCGTATACACATTATCTCCCTCTCGTACTATCTCTATTATCACAGAGGGCCCACTTTCTGAAGGTCTGCAAGGGCGTCGGCTTTATGCCAGATGAAGAGGTCGGACTTGATGGTGCTGGAGAAGCACAAGTAGATGCAATCAGGGTTCTTTCTGGGCCTTCGTGCAATCGTGCATGCACAGTCTCCCTCACTTGCTATGCTGTCTCAAGGAGGGCCCGCTTTCTTGAGGTCTGCGACGGCGTCTGCTTTATGCTAGATGAAGAGGTTGGCCTTGATGGTGCCGGAAGAACAGAAGTGGATGCATTCAGGGTTCGTCTTGTGTCCCTTTGAAAGCTGCACGCTCTCTCGCGCTCTCTTGCTCTGTCTACATTAAGGAGGGCCCACTTTCTTGAGGTCTGCCAGGGCCTCGGCTTTATGCCAGATGAAGTGGTTGATGGTGCCGGAGGAGCAGAAGAAGATGCACTCGGGGTTCTTCTTGGGGCCGTCTGGGTCCGCACACTTGACTGATGCTGGATCCACTGTTGTGTTTGGCGCCTGCACCATGGGGCTGGGCGGAGGGAAGGGAGGAAGGGGACAGGTACAGGTACAAGTGTGTTTTGCTTCATGCCATGATTTCTTGGGGCCGTCTGGGTCCGCACACTTGGCTGATGCTGGGTCCACCGTTGTGTTTGGCGCCTGCACCATGGGGCTGGGCGGAGGGGCAAAGGAAGGGGAAGGGAAGGGACGGTAAGGGAATGGAAGGGAAGGGAAGGGAAGGGATGGAGTGAGAGGTGCAAGTGCGCTTTGTTGGCTTGAGCCTTTTGCAAGGGGCTCTTCTTGATGCGTTGAGCCGTTTTACACCTCACACTGATGCTAGAAGGGCCTTTTGTAATAAAGGCTCTTCCCCAGCACTCACCTCTTATCGCAGGTCTGTTTCACAGGTGGCTCGGTGATAGCATCGGGGTTCTGGAGCATGTCGTAGTACTTGACGAGCATGAGCCCCCAGTAGAGCGTGCGGCCGGTATGGAGTGTTCCACACTCACCTTTTATCGCAGATCTGCTTCACAGGTGGCTCGGTGATAGCATCGGGGTTCTGGAGCGTGTCGTAATATTTGACGAGCATGAGCCCCCAGTAGAGCGTGCGGCCGGTCCACGTGCACGCGTACGTTGCAAACTGGTTTGCCGCCTGCACCAGCCGCTGCACCTCCTCATCGTTCTCCTGCGCCCACCGCACCTTTTCAGTCAGGTCCGAGAAGCTGGGGGGAGGAGGGGAGGGAGGGGAGTTGAGAGGGTGAGCTGTTCGTACCAGGGGTCCCTGAGCCGCCTGCACCAGCCGCTGCACCTCCTCATCGTTCTCCTGCCCCCACCGCACCTTCTCAGTCAGGTCCGAGAAGCTGGGGGAAGATAATGGGAGGGGGAGGAGGGGAGGAGGGGAGGATGGGAGGAGGGGAGGAGGGGAGGAGGGGAGGATGGGAGGAGGGGAGGAGGGGAGGAGGGGAGGAGGGGAGGAGGGGAGGAGGGGAGGAGGGGAGGAGGGGAGGAGGGGAGGAGGGGAGGAGGGGAGGAGGGGAGGGGAGGAGGGGCGGGGGAGGGGCGGAGTGCAGGCAGTGAGCTGTTGGTACGTGGGTGTACAACCAAGAGCTTGGATGGTTCATGGTGGAGGAAGGATCTGCTCTGCACCCAAGCGGTGACTCACGTGCGAGTGGTGGTAAGCCAGTGCACCCTGTCCTGCAGCAGCGGCTCATAGAACTGGAAGATGGGCGTCTCCTGGCGGATGCTCAGCTGGTTGGAGCGCAGCACTCCGCACGTGCGACAGCTGCCCCCGCCACCGTCCACCAGCACCTGGTACTTGAACGCGTTGAACTGCGTGAAGTTCATGCGCGGCGCCGTCTTCACCCCGTCTTTTACCATTTCAGACTGCGCGTCTCCCCGCGAGTGGGACCACCTGAGGGGCACGGCACAGCAGCATGCGTGGGGAGAGGAGAGAGGGGCACGAGGGTTGTAAAATTTCGAGAGGAAGGTTGGGAGCTGCCCCCCTCGCCGCCGTCCACGAGCACCTGGTACTTGAACGCGTTGAACTGCGTGAAGTTCATGCGCGGGGCCGTCACCACCCCGTGCTTCACCATCCCATCCGCGAGTGCGACCACCTGAGGAGGAGGAAACGACAGAGCCATGCGCGGGGAAAGGAAATTGGGGCATGGGGGATGGCGCCCCAGTTGCCAAATTCTAAGACGTTTCAAAAGATTCAAGACGTCTCAAAGCTAGTGTGCTGTGCTCCCAAGAAGCGCAGCCTCACCTGTTGATATGTGCGTCCATGAGGGAAGGGTGTGCGTCGGAGATGCGGTGCAGGCGAATACGGGGGTTGGCGCCCCAGTTGCCGTCGATCAGCTGGTACGACGTGGTCTTGCCTCGGAACACTGCGCGCGCCTCCTTGCGCTCCCATGGGATCTGAGCAGGGAGGGAGGGGGGACGAGGGGGGAGGGGGGGGAAGAATGGGCCAAGGAGCTTTTGAGAACACTGCGCGCGCCTCCTTGCGCTCCCACGGGATCTGAACGACGAGAGGCATGGGGCATGGGGCATGGGGCATGGGGCATGCGGCATGGGGCATGGGGCATGGGGCATGCGGCATGCGGCATGCGGCCGCTAGGCCAGTGCTCATCATGGGAGGGGATGCCGTGGCCATCATAGAGAAGCAGTGCAGCAGCACACACATAAGCACACAACTTGCTCTCACCCACCTGTGTGGCCAGATCCGGAGTGTAATCCTCAGTCAGGTCGAGCGGGTCAGGCACGGGGATGTCCATGGTGTTGGCTGGCAGTGAATCCAGTGCTCATCATGGGGATGCAATGCCGTGCTGTGAGCAGTCAGCAGTACCACAGCAAGCACACACAACACACCCACCTGTCTGGCCAGGTCTGGTGTGCAGTCCTCATTTTGTTTTTGTGTTTATTTTGTTGGATGGCGACCCGTTTGCGGAAATCAAGTGGGTCGGGCATGGTGGTGTCACGATATTGGCGGTGAATCCAGTGCTCATCATGGGGATGCCATGCTGTGCAACGGCAAGGCCACACAGGACAGTAGCAGGCACACACAGCACTCGCTCTCCCACCTGTGTGGCCAGGTCTGGCGTGTAGTCTTCAGTGAGGTCAAGCGGATCAGGCACGGGGATATCCATGGTATCAGCAGTGAAGCCGGTGCTCATCATGGGGGGGGAGGGGACACGGTGGTCATCATAGAACAGCAGTACAGCAGCAAGAAAGCACACACAGGAGTTGCTCCCACCCACCTGCGTGGCCAGGTCTGGCGTGTAGTCTTCAGTTAAATCAAGAGGATCAGGCACGGGGATATCCATGGTATCAGCCGTGAATCCCGTGCTCATCATGGGGATGCCCGGGCGGTCGTCGATCTGGCTGCTGTAGAACGCCATGGGGTGGTCGCACGTGTTCACAAACAGCTCAATGCGCATGTCCGTGAGTTGATACCGCACCACCGCATCCTGGGGGGTTTATGAGGAGGTGATAGGGGGGGGTGTGGGGTTGGAGAAGTGGTGTTTGGAAGTGCGTCGATGTGGCTGCTGTAGAATGCCATGGGGTGGACGCATCGCACGTGTTCACAAACAGCTCAATGCGCATGTCCGTGAGCTGATACCTCACCACCGCATCCTGATGGGGGTTGGTTGTGGGGTAGGAGAGCCAATCGAGAAAAGGGATGTTGAGGCAATGCTTGTGAGGTTGGGAGTGTGGTCATGCTTCATGCGTTTGACTCACGCCCACAAATTTGACCAGCGTTGACCCATGCCATCCATGCATGCGATGCCATGCCATGCCATGCCATGACTACCAAACCAGTCGCACCATCACGCATACTTCCACCCAACCAGTCTGGACGCACGTGGATCATCTTGACGGTCTGCAGGAAGCGGTTGAGGCGGTAGTACTCGCGGAAGAAGCCCCCGTAGCGGAAGAGCACCCGGCCGTTGATCACCTTCACGTGCCCCGCACACGACATGATGGCCGGCGTCTTGCTCATCCGCGCCAGCGCCTCCGGCGTCACCATGCCCGTCTTACCCACTCCCGAAGTCAGATTCTGAGAGAGGGACATGGGAATGCAGCGTGAAGGGGAGTTATGCAGTCAGAGAAGATTCTGGTGGACGGACAGGGGGTGCAGCGTGAATGAAAGGGAGGTAAGCAGTCATTCAGGGAGGAGTTTGAGAAACGCAGGGCGGTGCAGCGTGAATGGGAGGGAGGTAAGCAGTCAGGGAAGCGGGGTGTGCAGACGAGGAGCATGAAACCGGCGCCTTGGCCTCTCGGCTGAGTTCCTCTGACCTTGATACCCTTTTGAGGCGGCTCAATGCTCTGGTGGCGTCCTGCCTATACTGACCTTGATAGGGCGCCACGGTTCCAGGTACTTGTGAATCAGCTGCAGGTATTTAACCGCCATGGGTTGAGTCAACACCAGCCGCTTATACTGCGGAAGCCGGCCCAATAGCTCTTCATCCGGCGGCCGGAATTCACGGGGAAGGGGACACGTGCCTTGCGTGGCAGCCCTAGACTTCATCTCCTCCCACACGTCACGCACTCCCCACCCGAGAACCACCAGCAACCCCGTTACTAGCACAAGCCGC